GGGGACACTCATGTTACAATAATACAAGTGGAAGAAAACAGCAGCTATGAAACTGCTTTGAAAGAAGAAAAAAAGTAGGCTATATGTTGCTATGGGATGCACAGATATTGAAAGAAAAAATATCAAGATCTTGCAAGCAAAGGATTTGTTTTAGTAAGTGTTTTACGGCACTTGCAACACAATAAGGTCATATAAGTGCCGAAGATAAGAGGTGTGTCTAGAGAGTAACAAACACAAAAAAGAAGGTTGACAGATAAAGACAATAGATGTTTGATAGGAAAGAAGAAGCAAACCACACCAGAGCACCCACAAACCACCCATGAGCAAAGGGTGACTACTTCAAAATTGAATGTCCTTTTTCTTTCTCTGCAAAATATTAGGAGGAAAAAAACAACTGTTTGTCTGCCCAGGTTGAAAGTTAAAAAGAAATAAAGATTGTGTTTTTTTTCTAGAAAAGATAAACGAAACATTGCATATCACAAAGGAAACATGAAATAAAGGGTGCGCATGTCTTGCTTTTACTGAGAGGTGGCAAAAGGAATATGAACATTTCTAGCCATGTTAGAGAATTATGTGGTGAAGTTCTCTTCGCTTAATGTGATATGTGGCGTCGGTGGTGGTGAAGTTCTTTTCGCTTAATGTGATATGTGGTGTCGGTGGCCTAGTGGCAACCGTAAGGTCCTGGGTTCGAATCCCGTCAGAGGTCCGACGTTGTGTCCTTGGGAAAGGAATTTTACACAAATTTTCCTGACTCCACCCAGGTGAGAATGGGTATTCAGCTATAGACAGCAAAAAATGTTGTCAGTTTATTAGTGTTTGAATGCTTAATCAGCTGCTTGCACTGTATGCTTCCTAGGAAGCCGAGAATGTTTCTGATGAGTGTTCTGTCAGCTGGGGTAATAATAGTGTAAAGCACATAGAGCCTGCTGTCGAGCTGGGGTGTGCGCTTACAAATGCTATTTATTATTACAGCAATGGGTAAATGGCATAGGATTAAATAAAAATTTGTGTGCTCTAGTAATGAAAGTAACAACAAAAAAGGAGAAAGGTAATCATTTTTTTGCCTGAATCATCTACAAATATGCGCTTTCAGTTTTAACTTTTAAAGCCATTGCCTCCAGGGTAATAAATTAAATTGTAGTATGTAAGGCGGCGCATGCTGACAAAATGAATCACTTTTCGCTATCCAATAAAAGACATATCGGGCTGAAAATCAACACTGGGGTCAGATTTATAGATTTCTATTTGATACCATTTTGTTCAAGTCTACCGTGTCTTACGTTATTCAATATTTACAAATTGTACAAACTCCACCTAAAAAGTTGGTGCATCAATTTCGATAAGTCTACAATCCAAGCAGTAACTCCTCATTATCTCTGCACACCTCACAAACGTCTGTGATTATATCAGGCCTGATGAAAACAATCCAGGTAAGAAAATTATATTGTTAAGTTTTTCTCTTCACTCAGAACCCCTTTATCCCTCACTCCAATTTTTTTCCTAGTCTATCAAAACATGTCTGGAAGTTTTAAAAGTCATGAAAAAAAAAAAGAACAATAAGAAAGTTGTCTTGCGAAAGTAAGGTTACATATGAATAAAGCAGTAAACAGAAAAGAGCAAATAAACATGAACTGTTTCATCAACAATACCTCTGTAAAGAAACCAAAGTTTGATGCTCTAAGATTCCCACATTTCCCTGCACAGTCTACTGTTTGTACGTTGGGCAGCATTATGAGACAAGACTCAAAACTAAGAGTGAAATTATAGTTTTCCTAACAAGCTTCAAATTCTAAAAAAAGAAGATCCATGGCACAGCTGACAGAAAGAATGATTAAATGAATGAACAAGAAAAAAAAACAGAGGGCAGCAATTGGAAAAGGAAATCAGTTCCAGAGGATTATAACCTATCATAATATAGGCACAGCCCTACATAAACTTGATGATTGAAGTGGAAAAGGAGAGAAGGAGAAGAGGTGGGGGGGGGGGGGGGTTTGTAGTATGTAGATACTGTTACTCTGAATAAAAAAAGCAATAGTTTGTTCTGAAAGTGACAATGAAGTTTTCAATGAGTTAGATTTAAGTTGGAGTGCGCCTTGGTAACTTAACAATCCATCTTTCTTTACCCGTCTTCAAGTGATTTGCATTTAGGGAAGGATCTAAAATGAAATGCAAAATACAACCCAGTTTTGTGCAACAAATCAACGTGAAAATAATAATTCCTTTTTCCCTCTAGCATCACCTGCCTTATGGTAGCACAATTAGGGGCCTACAGCATACAGAACACAGAGCAGCCATCCTTGTCACCTCTACAAGAAAACCAGGCCTTCATGAATTTTCTATTCATTACAGCATTGGAAAATGAACCAACTAAGCCTTTACAGAAAATCAGACGCTAAGAGTTCTTTTTGCTGGGGAACTTTACTTTTACTTTACTTTTCCGATTCAGGGCCATTTGGGTTCTAGCCCTTCGGTCTGTCCATATGGCAAAGAATTTACAGGTTTTAATCAGCTGTGTTTTGTCGCTGTATAGAGTATTTCCGATGTCTGGGGAGGCAGGTAGGTAGGTGCTACGCAGGTCGCAAAGTGCTGGGCAGGTAAAGAGGTGGTGTGATACTGTTTCATCCTGGCAGTCGCACAACGGGCAGTCGGGTGGGGTATCCTTGTGGATCCTATTAAGGTAGGAATTTAGTGGGATGTGTTGTGTTCGCAGGCGAAAGATTTTGCTGTGGATAAAAAGTTACCCTTAGGCCCTACTATCTTTGGCAATAAATAATATTGAACAATACGAATCTAGCTCTGACAGTAACAGGCTGTAAAGTTTACTGTTTCTATGAATTAGATAAATTGCTACGTTGGGTAAGTGGGTTCGACAACAGAAAAAAAGTGCAATTTGAGATCCCAGTACTTAGTCACAACAGCATTACACAGACGAGAATTGGATCAAGTTAGTCGACAGAACTGTACACAACACATTTAGCAGTCAAAGCTGGAGAGAATGAGTAAGATATGAGTCGGGTTGACCGTCGATAGCCATGAGTATTGTCAGACAAAGTAAGGACAGATATAGGAAAAACAAAACGTATCATATAGAAACAAATATCCAGCGAGAAGATGATTGCTGAGTACTAGAACATGGCATGAGTTAGGGCTTTTTGCTTCATGAGATAAACCAGCAGAATATGGAAGCCATCAAAGAAAAACATGAAGCCCGAGCAAAATATGCAAACTGATTTTTAAAAAACGGAAAATAATGCTAAAAGACTAAGACAAGAGAAAACAGCAGTACCGAAGGGTCACACAACAGAGAAGGATTTATGGCTGGCCGTCTTTACCCTTCGTATTTATAACTTGGCAAGACAAAGCAAAAATGTTGTGTATCTACATCAATCAAACTGACTTGAAATGATATTTTAAAAAATTATTACCGAACATATTTCTGTAGGCTATAAATGTAGCATGAGAGCTCATTGACAATCACTGATGATTGGTTTTCAGGAGATTTTTTCTAATTTGTCTGGCTGCAAGACCAGAATTCAAGTAAGCCTACATTACAAACAAACAAAAAACACTTTTTAAAAAACAAAGAACAAAAACAAAACAAAAAAAAACAAAAACAAAAAACCTGTAAAAATATGAATTAGGAAAGATGAAGGTACTCTACATGTCATTCTAGCTGACAGGGCACAGAACATCACAGAAGGATCTTTCAGAATTAGGGAAATCAAGTAGGCATAGGGCTTGTTTGCAGATCTCGTTAATTATGGCTTTAATTACAAAGAAAAAACAATCAGACAGTGATGTCAAAAGCTTTATCATTTTCCATTCCAGTCAGATCAACCAAGAAAGCATATAATTCTGTACAGAGTTCTCTCTTTGTATACTGTTGGACATAGAGTCACGTGCAAGAGGTCAAACCCCAAACTGCGTATAACCCAACAGAACTATGACCTACAAACAGTTTGCTACACATAAACCAGAGGCATAGAGACATACACGACAGCTTTCAATAACAGTCACCCTTTTTTCAACTGTTTGAGTTCTATACAAAGACACCACAGTAGTTTTGTGGTCACACACTCTCTCTACTCAAGCCAATCACTGAGAACACTCGCATTTTCCATACAAAAACTCTCCTTCCATAAGTAATAATTTAAATATAAAGCCACACTGACACCCTAAGAAAATGAATTCATCTCAAACATCATCCTTCATCAGAGTAGCAAATCTAACACTTTACAAACAGAACACATGAGAAGTAAATAGAAAAAGAAAATCAAACTCACTAATAGGCCTATAGAGTGCACTGATTCTCTCAGCTAAGAACAGTTTCACTTCTGGGCTGGGTAGGAATAGCTTGCATTTGTCAGCTTTTTTTTACTCACTAGCCCACCCCCCCCCCCCCCCCTCCTCCAACCCAAAAAAAAAAAAAAAGAGTCAGGGCATCTTTAAACAACTGAAGACAAAGTGCCAACAAGGCGGGGCACCCATTGTTTGAAAGTGGTACTTCCACTGGGGCTGTCGGAAGGTTATATTGTGAAAGGGACGAGCTGTCAAGAAGAAGAAAAAACTTTGGGTACACTGAAGACCCAGACTTATAATAAAAAAAAAAATATTAAGAAAGATTACAATTGAGAATAGAAAACTTACAGGCTGTTTTGTTTTGACATGAACCAGGATGTTCTTCTACAACTTCCTTGGGGTTTTTTCTTTAGGTAACTCTCAAATCACTTTTAGAGTGTACAGATGAATTACTTCAAAAGGTTCTATCACAGTCATGGTGTGGTATGGATTTATTTATAACCAATTCCAACATTTCGCTCTTATTCAAGACATATTCTATGACCTCCAAATGCCCATAGGACCCAAGTAGGGGGAGAGCCTTATAAAAGCACCGAGAACAACTCAAGTTTAAGAACGTCCCATTTGGGTTTTTGAATCAGGCTTGCCTGTAGCATAACCCATTGTCTGTAGCATAACCCATTGTCTGTACCATAACCCATTGTCTGTACCATAACCCATAGTCTGTACCATAACCCATTGTCTGTACCATAACCCATTGTCTGTAGCATTGTCTGTACCATAACCCATTGTCTGTAGCCTAACTCATTGTCTGTACCATAACCCATTGTCTGTACCATAACTCATTGTGATACCAGCTGAGCTAGTGGTGTGTCCTGACAAGTTTAGATAGCAGTTTAAGAATCCAGTATTTAAAGCACAACATTGAAATGACAGAGGAATAAAATTGTGACATGCATAATAAACCCTACAAATAGTGGAAACAGTAAATTACAAAAATATGTAGCCCATCTAGAGTGGAGAAAGAGTAATAGAACATGAGAACTTCATGAGTGAAAGAGAATCAAATAAAAGAGAAACGTTATCTAAAGCAAGGTAATAATGGGAGAGCTGAAGCATTTTCCTGCTGCGAGGAAGTGCAGAGAATTGGACAGTGCCCCATTCCACGTTTCAGCCAATATCTTTACACTAAACCATGAAATTAAACAGAAAGTATTTCTCCAAAGTCAAAGATTCAAAACTTACCAAAAACTTACAAATTATCCATCCATTAAAATTAAGTAATGAAAACCTCTGCACACAGATTTTCAAGATACACCAAGAAAAAAGAAAACTGTAAGTCTATTATTGACATTGTCAGTTTTCCTTCAGCAATATGGAAGTTTTCAAATGGCCCTCCCTCATTCTTCCATCCGAACAGGGAGTAAAAACATTTTGTCCAGGGAGTACCAGCTGTCACATGATCCACAGCACCATTGCAGGTCCTGATGCTTTGCCTGGAGGAATCAGCATCTGTTGATTTCGCAGGGAGCCCTCTCTTTAAACTTTTGCCCTTTGTTTAACACTCTGAGCTGAGCAACTGAATATTAAATCAAAATCATGCACATACATTTCCTAGAATTTGAGATCAGACTGATTAAATCTCTCACACTAACCAGCTGGAGTATATTGTAATTTGAGACTATGTTTAGGAAAGATTGTTTTCTTGACTGTTTTATTCATTATTATCAATCTTAAAAAGATTCGGTTTCTGCAAAGGGTACACAAGGAGACAGACTATACATTGTCATTCTTCAGAGGAACCAAATTAAGCTAAGGCGGGGGATACAGAAATGTTGTTTCTCAAATACTGTCAGTACATGGCAGCAATAACATTAATGAATAGTTTCTTCAGTACTCAGGACCACTACCCAAGCGTTACATTGCTTGTGGGAGGGGTGAAGCCACACTGGCAACAGGTGTTCAAAATTACCCGCGACTCCTTTGAACATCGTTCCAAACCCCCATCAGTCCATCATATTAATCCAAGGGAGAAATATAGATAGACAGCTAAGGGTAAGTTATAAAAATGAATTATCTTGTGCTATCAGAGAGATTCAATATTCCTGAAAATGTCTTGCATGAATCTGAACCAATCCTCACCTCCCGTAAACCATTAAAGTTGCAACAGCCAAACACATTTGGAGTGTACAAAACACCTCAAAGAGATCAATTGCTACATAGAACCCTTTATCACCCAACACCTAGCCTAGACAACTTTGCAAGCACATCAGAGCTAAGATGTTAAAACTGGGACTCACAGAGCTCAGTATTTCTACGGTCAGACCTTATACACACTCCCAAGTGTAGCTGAAGTTCTTAGATGTAATACGAATACCTTAAGGTATTCCCAGATTTCAAAGTTTCACACAACACAGCCAATAGTTGATGAGCTGATAAACTCAAACATAGATATTTCATTGCTCAGTCTCCAGAAGTATTACGTACACAGCCGAGCGTAGCAGACGAGTCGTAGAACTCAAAAGTGTATATCCTCCAAAACTCCCTCTCACATTCATTACACAACACAGCATGAAAAGAGCTGTCCAGCTCAACAGCTTGTATCCCGATATGTCAAAGGTCAGCCTCAAATCCAGAATCCAAGTATCCTGCTAGTCCTTTGCTTAACAGAAGAACACAAAACATTTGATTCCAAGCCGTTGTCAGAAAACAAAATGCTCACGCAAATGGCTTTCAACTGCTACTTGTGTCCAGATTTAAAACTGACCGACGGTGCGGTGCGGCCCTCGTGGGGTTCCTCCTTGACACTGGGTTCTATCGTGAAGGCCATGCCTTCTGCTGAATTCGTGGACTCTTCCGGAGTCTTGGACATCTCGTGCTCGTGATCATGGTCGTGGTGATGGCGGTGCTTGTGGTGAAAAGCCTGCAGAGAGAAGCGGCGGTGAGTCTGCTTGCGTCCGCCCCGGCGCTTGGAAATGTGCGGGTTGTCCTTGCGCATTGTCTTGGTTTTATAGATCTGTAGTTGAGTGTACAGGCGCTTGAGCTCCGCCTGCAGGAACAGAAACAAACAGCAAGTATGAGGTACAAAATGAAACCCGACTAAGACAGCACCTTAACACAGATATGGGGGGAGGGGGGGTTGGGGAGGGGCTCTCGTGGCATAGAGGTTAAGGTGTTCGCCTGCTCATTCAATAGGTCGTGGGTTCAAATCTGGATAGCCGTGTAAAAAAATTTTCTCTAAAATTTTCTTCTTTCAGATACTTCCATGCTCTCTAACAATGTTCTGTCATCTGCTTTCATCTCCACTTTCTGCCCCCTCCCCCCTCACCTCCTTCGCCCCATCCTCTGGGCTCCTAAGTAAAAAAAGTAACGTTGTTCCCGCATCCGATCCGGACATTGAGGATTGCCTTGTTAGTGAGAGAACTTCCTGGGCCTTCGGCATATTGTGGTAGGGTGGCCAGTTCCTTTCCACGCTGCCTTTACTTCCCCAACTCGAAGTCAGGTACCCATTACTGCTGGGTGGGCAGGAGGGGGCGAAAAAAAATCGGTGTCCAAACCAAAGCTCGAAGTTTCTTCCTCGAGGCACATGAATTCATTTATAGTGTACAAAAGTTTGTTCGCATTTCTTAGCCATACCCCATAATGTCTTATCCGTATGTCTCAACCCATAGCCCCATCATTCCACCACCCATGGCCCCTTCACGCATTACCCATATGTCTTACCCAGTCCCATCATGAATTACCCATAATATGTCTTACCCATACCCCATCCTGTCTTACCCATATGTCTTACCCATAGCCCCATCATACCCCCACCCACATGTCTCAACCCATAGCCCCATCATTCCCCCATCCATAGCCCCATCCTGGATTACCCATATGTCTTACCATAACCCCATCCTGTCTTACCCATAATATGTCTTACCCATAACACCATCCTGTCTTACCCATAATATGTCTCACCCACAGCCCCATCCAGCCTTACCCGTATGTCCTCTGGATCCATCTCTGTGAGACTGATCTCACCCACCTCCACGTCCCCGTTGGAAGAAATGCCCACGTTGAGTTTCATGGTCTCCGACGATGCACTGTCCTGCACGTCAGACTGGGAATAAGCCCGCGACCGGCTCTGCTCATCATCGGGCGGCCGGTGGGCGTACCATAGCTGTGGCAAGACGAATGAGGTGGTTGTTTAGTTTTAGTACAGGTTTTACGGCGCTCGCAACTGCATAAGGTCATATGAGTGCCAGAAGATTAGAAGTGTTACAAGAGAGTAACAAGCATAAAAAGAAGAAGGGGAGATAAGGACGACATTTATAGATATCTTTTCACTGGCATGTGTTTGCTTTAGTTGAACCCACACACACTCACCTTTGGCCCTAGTATAATGATC